TGAAGCAGAAATCACGAGACTTTGTAGAGACACGAGACTTTGTAGAGCCTTCACGAGACTTTGTAGAGCCTCACAGACCTCACCGAGTCGCCTCTCCTATGAGAACATTTCAACATCCCCGATAGGAGGATGATGGTATGTTTTGGTCCCATTTGCGTTTAAAGATTGGTATTCTATGAACGGCGGCGACATCGGGGAGGGTGTTATCGTCTAGTGAGGCTATTGAGAGAAATATGATATCTTATAACAATAATAAAAATATGATAACAGCAATACGAAGGTACACGACAGGGGTACTGTAGCGGGGTGGTACCACCCCTGCTCAGGGAGAGGCTTCAGCCTCCCTTTTCAAACGTCGCACTTGAAATCACGGCGAGATCTTATCGCACTTGTCGTGCGCGTACGCGGCGACGGTGGAAGACACGCCGGTGGGGTCGACGAGCGCGGCGATTTCCATGGCTTTGCGAAGGGTGTCGACGGTTGACGGTGATTTTTGCAGCCCGCCGATGGACGACACCAGCTGCGCGCCGCCTCCGGTCGCCATGGACTCGCCTGTGGTCTCCACGACTTGCTTTTTGACTTGCTTCACGAGTGATTCGGTCCCCTGCTCCGCGAGTTCTTTGGCGGCGCCCTTCGCCGCTTTCGCTGCAGCTTTCGCGGGCGCCGTGGCCGCGGTCGACGTCCCGAACGAGGCCGCGAAAGCGATGATCTCTAGCGGCCCGAGGACCATGTCGGCGATGGCGCTGCCGCACGTGGCCTTGTCCACCGCGGCGCCCATGCCGCAGTTTACCCAGCCGGTGGGCGGCTCGCCCCAGCACACGGGACCGACGCCATCGAAGCCGTCGCGGCATTTTTTGTAGCACAACCCAGCGTCGTTCTCCATGTGAGCGTCGCACTTGGGCGATAGTGGACGACCGGCGCCCGAGCCGAGCCCGGTGCTCATGAGGATGATCTTCTTTCTACACACCGGGCCGATGCCGGACTTATACCCGACTTTGGCGCAGTCCACTTTGCACAAGCAACAGCCGAAGGACGTTCTTCCTTGGCCGGGATACGCATCTTCACATTGAGGGTAACACAGCAAGCCGTTCACGTCCATGCCTCTCTCGCGGCACAGGTTACCGCCGACGATGAGTCGCTTGCAACCAAATTTTCGGCGGCCGCGTCGGTTTTTGTGTCCGCACCCGAATCTGCACCCGAGGCGCGCGACGGTGGCGTTTCCGAGGCGCGCGGCGAGCTTCTTCTCGAAGTCTTCGTCTTCTTCCGCGTCCAAGTCTTCGTCGCGTTCGCCGAGTTCCGCGAGCGCCGCGTCGAGTTCGCTCGGTTCTTCGTCGAACGCGTCGAGTTCCGTTTCTTGGGATTCCCCGAGTCCCGCCGCGGCGTTGCACGCGGGATTCGGATACGCCCACTTCGAGATGGATTTGCCGGCGCCGCGCCCCTTTGCCACCGCCGAGCCTTTGTAGCAGAACAAACCGTGGTTCGTCCAACCGGGCAGACAACTCTGGTGACAGTCTAGCCCCCATCGCGTGAATCCAGCGGAGCACTTCTTGTAACACAGCAAACCGATGAGTTCGTACCCTGCCCCACACCTCTTCGGGATCTTTCCGACGCCGCGGCCGTACGAATCTTTCCAACAAAAATCCCCAGTGCCCTCGGCGGCGATTATCTGGGCGTTGCCCCTCACGCCGTTAGCAGTGGAAGCGGCATCGACCGCTGAGGAAGCGGAAGAAGAAAACTTCCCCCACCCTCCGAGCCCCGCGCCGGCGCGATTTGCCAGGGTGGCATTTTTTTGTTTCACCGCGTATCCCGCGGCGGCTTCCTCGATCGCGATGGTCGCGAGTAACTTTTTCTCGTACGTACCTTTCGCGCCCGTGGCGTGCGTGACGGCGTGTGCGTCTTCGCCGGAGGGGCAGGTTTCGGTCTCGTCGAACGCGCCGTCTTCCACCGCGAGGTTCTCCAATTCCTCGGCGCTGATCTGCGCGGGCGAAGCGATCGGGTGAACACGTCGGTCAGTCGAACGTCTCACGGAAGTACACTGGTCCCCATACGACCGCGTTCGCGTGGTGAACGCCGTTTCTTAAGGACTTTCGCCGTCATCTCTCTCGCCGAACGATTCAATCGTTGAAAGGGAAGCGCGGCCGAAGAGCGACGCCGGGAAAAAAAAAGCCTCAAGGAACAGAACGGCGCGCGTCGCGCGCGCGGGGTCGTACGGGAAAGGAGTCTAGAGTCGATGGTCTCACCGCGGCCGCCGCGACTGCCTCGCGGCACCGAGCCCGTCGCGCGAGCGCCGCAGGTTCGGCGGATACGTCGTCGTCGTCGACGGCGGCGGCGGCGGCGGCGGCGTCGCGCTTGCGCTTCGTCCCGTGCTCTTCCTCCGAGGGTCCGTCGAAATCGCCGTCGTCGAGCTCGCCGTCGTCGAGATTTCCGTCGTCGAAGACGGCCGCGCGAGCCTCCGCGAGTTCGGCCGGCGAGCACGCGACCGTCTCGGGCGGCGGCACGTCGTCGTCTGGCCCCATCGTGAGCGCATCGATGAGTTCCCGCAGCGCCGGCGACGGCGTCTTTTCGTCGACTTCTCTCGGAATCTGAAGTTCCGTGGCTGTCGCTTCTTGTGCGACCAGCGCCGCGGGGAGTCCCGTCTCGCTGTAGATGGGGGCGGTCTCGTTCAGCAATGAATAACCACCGCCGAGCTTCACGCCGCGGGACGAGACGCGCGCGGTGACGAGCAGCGTGGCGAGCACGGTCGCGATCAAGGCAGCACCGACGACGACGAAGCGCCATCCTCGCGAAGGCGGCGCCGCGGCGGCGTCCTTCTTACGCAACAGAGGTGTCGCTTCTTGTGCGACCAGCGCCGCGGGGAGTCCCATCTCGCTGTAGATAAGCTTTAGGTTAATAATATGAAAGTACACCGCTTCCAATCGAGCGGGGAGTGAGCGCGCGCGGCGCGGACGGTCCTCGAAAACGCGCGGGTTCACGCGAGCGACGACGTTGGAGGATACCGCGCGGGGTTTGTCTCGTTCGGTTCGGCGCGCACGTGGATCCCGCGCGTCTACTTAGTGACCGAATCGCCCGTTTGCGCCGGTCGTAACACCTTTCCGAGATACGTTCAGATTTTTTCCAGATTTTTTCACGACGTCGACCGACCGAAAAACCTTTTACAGTTTTTTCCAGACTAAAAAGTCTCGTGCCTGAATACGTTTCTTAAAATACGTCACATTCCCTCCGCAGTGCTCGGACTGGAGAATTTCGCGGAGAGCAGAGCGAAGTTACATTCGCCGCCGGCGGTGGCGACGTCGGCGACGACGTCGTCGTACCTTCGTATTGCTGTTATCATATTTTTATTATTGTTATAAGATATCATATTTCTCTCAATAGCCTCACTAGACGATAACACCCTCCCCGATGTCGCCGCCGTTCATAGAATACCAATCTTTAAACGCAAATGGGACCAAAACATACCATCATCCTCCTATCGGGGATGTTGAAATGTTCTCATAGGAGAGGCGACTCGGTGAGGTCTGTGAGGCTCTACAAAGTCTCGTGAAGGCTCTACAAAGTCTCGTGTCTCTACAAAGTCTCGTGATTTCTGCTTCAACAAGGCTCACGGAGGTTTTGTAGGGTTTGGGTCGCTACGCTCCAGATACGCCCCCAAAGACTCGTGATTTCCGTCAGCCCCCGTGGTTCAAAACAGACCTCAGACCCTTAGAAAAAGTATAAACTACGATGACTACTTAACTTATTATTGAAAAAAAAATATAACTTTACATACTCTTACACATTCTTGTGTATATTGTGAAAATAGTTTGAAGGCAGTCATAATTTATACTTTTTATCCATATATGTGTGGTCTAAAACAGGTGTCAAAATGTAGTGACACTGCATTCACTGCCTTAGAGACCCGTGATTTCCGTCTGGCCCTGTGGTTCAAAACAGACCCCAGATCCTGAGAAAAAGTATAAACTACGAAAAAAAAATATCTTTACATACTCTTAAACTATTCTTGTGTATTGTGAAATGAGTTCGAAGGTAGTCATAATTTATATTTTTTATCCATATATGTGTGGTCTAAAATAGGACTGAAACAGGTGTCGAAATGTTGCTTCACTGCAGTTGCTGCTTCAGAGACTCGTGATTTCCGTCAGCCCCTGTGGTTCAAAACAGACCCTGGATGACTCTAAGAAAAAGTATAAACTACGATCACTACTTAACTTATTATTGAAAAAATATTTATAACTTTATAACTTTATAAACTAACTTGTGTATAAGAAAAATAGTTTGGGGGTAGTCATTATTTATACCTTTTACGCATATGTGTGTGGTCTAAAATAGGTGTCGAAAATAGAGGATTGGGTCGCTTCGCTCCAGATACGCCCCCAGAGACTCGTGATTTCCGTCAGCCTTTGTGCTTCAAAACAGACCCCGGATCCCGAGAAAAAGTATAAACTACGATCACTACTTAACTTATTATTGAAAAAATATTATAACTTTATAACTTTATAAACAATTCTTGTGTATAAGAAAAAAAGTTTGGGGGTAGTCATTATTTATACCTTTTACGCATATGTGTGTGGTCTAAAATAGGTGTCGAAAATAGAGGATTGGGTCGCTTCGCTCCAGATACGCCCCCAGAGACTCGGGATTTCCGTCAGCCTTTGTGCTTCAAAACAGACCCCGGATCCCGAGAAAAAGTATAAACTACGATCACTACTTAACTTATTATTGAAAAAATGTTATAACATTATAACTTTATAAACAATTCTTGTGTATAAGAAAAATAGTTCGGGGGTAGTCATTATTTATACTTTTTATCCATGAAAGTTTTTAAAAAAGTCTATGCTCTGCGGCAGAAAGTAGCCGTAGGCTCGGTGTTGCCGACAACATAGGGATTTCAACAGCCATCTATCGCAAGGATCTACCCTAAAACTACTAACCTTGCTAGAATGGCGTCGAACCGCATACGGTAACCGATGACAAAAGCCCCAAGTATAGGAGCGGG